TCCTCTGGGAAAACAGCAAGTGTTTATAACTCCTGAACAAGGGTTTAACTCCTAAAGCAGGGTTGAATGTAGCTCAGGCTGACCCTGTTTACTGTGCAGCCAAGACTGGCTTTGAACTCTTGATCCTCATGCCTGCAACTCCCAAATGCTTTTAACTATAGGAGTGTTGCCCCCATGCCTGCCTTATCCTCTTACTTAAACATAAAATTCCCCTGCATCTTCCCTTTACCCACACAATATTATTTCCACCTCTGGTTGTCAAGTAACAGAACTGCATAGCTGTTCAGAGTAAACACTATATTTTATTTTCTTGCTTTTGTGAAATTGAACTGATTTGTAATTGATTATATGCTGTAATTTTTTTTCCTTTAGCAATCTGGAATGTGTTTGAGTTGAGCAGTAGCATTTCCTGAAGAAACGTCATTGATACTAGAGTACAGGATACACTTTCAGCACCCTAGTAATAATTCTCTAGACTCAGAGCTTTCATTTTTAAAATAGAACAAAGTTTCCATAGCATCCATTAGAAAAAAGATCACCTTCAGAATTTGAGCTAATCATTTCTGTTTTGTGGACCTGGCAATTTGTCTCTGTAAGGAAAGTGATGATGACTTCTTAAATATCCAGTCTCCACTGTGTTCAGAGATGAAGACTTAACAACATTGTTTCTAGTCATGGGGATTTACTATTGCTCCTTGAAATCAAAGAAAAAAATTAAGGAAGTTTCTCACACTCTTTGGTTTGGTGTTTGGAAGAGTTCCCTGTCCAATTGCTTGTATCAGAAACTTTGTACACATAGAATGCCCAACTAAAAGCAATCAGGGAAACCCCAATCATCTGGGAAAACTCTGGATGGAATAGGGCATGAGTTCTCAGAAAGTTTACTATCTGGATGGGTCAGTAAAACTTTACCTATAAGAATGAAGGATCACTGTTAGTGGTTCACAAAACCAAACCAAAGTATTGTAGTACTGAAAAACATTAATAAGAATTAAGGGAGGGCTGTGGTGATGATTCAGAATGCTTGCCTTGTAAGTACAATGGCTGAGTTCAATCTCTACCATCCATGTGAAAAATGCTGTGGATGGTGTCTTGTGCTTGAAATTCCAATGCTAGAGAAGTGGAGATAAGTGAATCCCTGGGACTCACTGGCCAGCCTGCGTAGCCTAATGGGAGAGTTCCATGCCAGTGAGAGACTCTGCCTGAAAACAAAGAGAATGAAGAACAATTAAGGAACAATACCCAAGATTGTTCTCTTGCCTTTACCCAGATGCACACACACGCACCCCCCCACATGAACATGGGCAAATAATTCATGATTATTCTCTATGTTGTATTCTATGAATTTCTGTTGACCTTTTGGCCCAGGGTACTCTCTTCTTTCTAGAAGGATCCAGCACATTGCCCAATGAGTGAGTGCCAGAAACAAGTGTGAGCAGAAAAATGGAAACTTAACTAATCATTTTTAATTTGACATCTTGTTCTTTACAGGCCCATGAATTTTCAGTGTAACCCCCTTCCCATCCATTCTTTTGCTAGTGAATAAAATATTCCTGTTTCAGAATCAAATAAAACATCAAAATTTTATGGTGCCCATCAATAATTATGACAACTGAACAAACTTGAGAATCACTGTGTCTAGCATTTGTTTGTTATTAGCAAACAGGCACAAAGGACAAAGTCAGACTTTTCAGATTTATCGTCCCTCCTCTTCCTCCACTCCTGTTTCTTCTCCGTTCAGCAGAAGTTTTCCTCTGGGTCCTTCCACACCCCTCGTCATCTCCTTCCTCTGCATTCCACTTACCACTTTCCCCGTTCATACCCAAACAATTATAAAATCCAAATAGATTCCTTTCTGGTAGACTATCACGCACACACACACACACACACACACACACACACGCGCGCGCGCGCGTGCACTTCACATAAACTCACCATTCAGCAACACAGATTTTTTTTCAACCCCCTTTTTTTCTATTCAAAACATTAATTCATCACTGTTCATTTAATAACATCTACACAGCTTATGTTCAGAATCACCTCCTCCAAAATACGCCACTTGTAGTCTTTGGTTAGTATTTGAATGCAAAGTTTTGCCTGCATATGACATGTTTTAACGAAGAACTCAGAAGATATTTGGCAAGAATTTGTCACGTTAGTAGAGTATGTTAGTATAAAATTAATGTCGAGGTTTTTTTAAGTAGCTGGTTCTCCTTTAAGAGATGGTAGTTGCTACCTAAACTTGTTATTATTGCTGCTCAGGTTTTGTCTTCCCTTAAGGAACAAAGAGTGAGTTATCCTGTCAGCTATGGATAAATATCAGTATCTCCATCACTTGGAAATGCTTGCTTCTATTTTTAAATTTTATTTATTTTTATTTTATGTGGGTGTTTTGCTTGCATGTATGTAGACGTGTCGAATGTAGAGGCCAGAAGAGGGCACCAGATCCCATCAAACTGGAGTTAGGGATGGTTGTTAGCTGTCTTGTGGGTGCTAGAAACCAGACCCTGATCCTCTGCAAAAACAGTCACTGCTCTTAACAGCTGAGCTATCTCTCTAGCTCCTCTTGCTTCTTTTTTAATGACTTGTTCTGTCATTGGAGCTCTACTGGAATCAAACCAAAGTACTTACCTGGACTATTGAAAATCAGAACAGTGATAGTCATACGACTCAATACTTGCTGTCGAGATAAAAGAACTGGTGAAATTATTTTATAGATCCCTCAAGTTGTCTATAGTGTATTGTATTATTTGCTGTTAATTATAATGGTTAAAATAATTTCCACCAAAGTCTAGAGAGATGAACTTTTGCCCACTGAAAACACCCCTCAGTGTGGTTTGATGAGTATCACACTGTTCTTTAATCACATTATACTTCTAGAATCTTGAAGAGTGGTTTATTTTAAGCAAGAAATTAAATTTTTTATTTCCAAAAGTCCTGTGCAGTAAACTGTGCAATTTGGCATTTTGTTAGACATTTGAAATAAGCTATAGTGGCTTGCTTCTCTAAATTCATTTCTAAATAGCATCTTTCAGCCATCAGTGTCAGAGCTCAACAATGGGATATTTCTTTCAGTCTAATCATCACTGAATAATTTGTGTCTAGAATGTTCTCTCTGACCATTAATTAGTCATTCCTCATAATCTAACAGGATGCTGGCTTTTTCTCAACTATTTTTGATCTGCAGTGAGTTTAATTCTGTGGATATGGAACCAATCAATATGGAGCACTGACTGTATATACGAGATATATGTATATAATAGATGCATATGGATTATATTTGTATTACTTTATGTACTTGTAAGTATGAAATAATTTGAGCTTTCTGAACTTTTGAACTTTATGATTTTTAAAAAATTTTATTTATTATTTTTATTTTATGTGTATGCGTGTATTGCCTGCATGTAAGTAAGTGCACTCGTGTTGTGCAATGCCTGCAGAGGACAAAAGAGACTGTTGGATCCCCTGGAACTAGAGTTATGGACAGTTGTTAGCTGCCATGACAGTGCTGGAATTTGAACCCAGGTCTTCTGCAAGAACAGTGTTCTTATCCGCTGAGCTGTCTCTACAACCCCTGGTTCTTTGTTTTAAGTTTTAATTGTAGTTATGTCTGTCCTGAGTCCTGTGACTTGTTTATATAGAGATTGTGTATCACAACATCTTTTTGCAATGTTTTGTATTTCGTCTAAAAACAATAACCTGATAGGAGGTGAGAATGTGATTACGCTGTTTAAAAATGAGACCAATTAACAGTGCCTATAGTGCTCCACAGAGGAGGACACTGGTTTCCTGGCTCTGCAGTCTTGACTCCTGGAAATTATGTTGTGTATCAGGCCCAGCTCACATCCAACAGGGAGTACAGCAAGGGATTGTACAGAACCTACAATATTTCTCTTCAGTAAGCATAAGGCTTCAGATATGCTCAAAGTCTCTACTACTGATCAACCCTGAAAACCTTTATAAATGTAATTACAGAGCTATCCAAATGCTTTTCTTGACAACCCAAATATAAGATGTGAAACACTGTGTTCGAGCTTTCTCCATGTTCACAGATCCCCCAAATGTGCTCACAGATGTGTAATAGTAAAAATAAGGTGATAAACAGCAAATATATATATATATATATTGAATATTCATTATTGGAGCTGAAGTGGGGCAACAGTTAGCATACAGTCTTTATATGAATATTCATTATTTGCAGCGCTCCCATCTAAAATTATGAACAGCAATAGGGGCACAAACTGAAGATACCTCCCACTCTGTCACTGCTCTAAGGTACTTACACTTTGACAGTCAGGTGTATATAAATTTTATGAATTCTTTAGAAAATTTAATTATATGTATTCCTTATTTCATTTTATTTACTTATGTTTGGGGGTTGGTTTGTTTGCTTTGAGCAGGATCTCATTCTGTAGCCCAGGCTGTCCTGGAACTCACTTTATTGCTCAAACTGGCCTAAAGTCAAGGTAAGTCTCCTGCTTCGACTTTCCAGGTGCTAAGTTGCAAGAATGAGGCACCAGGCTTGCCTTATTCTTGGTTTTCAAATAAGTATTTTACTCCACGTGCTTCTCCAAAGAAAAAAGCATGTTTTGGTGTTATTTTCTTTAAGTTTATGGTTCAATGCTGTGCACAAGTAACTTCAGAAAGTTGAAAGTGTCCCAGGAAATGACCCTGAAATTAATTGTTCTATTATTTAAAAAACACTGATGAGTGTTTTCTTTTAAGAAGGGAAATATATATTATCAGTCTGAAAGAAACCATCTTGAATGACTTAAAATTCTTCTAGCTAACCACAGAAAAATGTAATAAGTCAATGTTTTATAGCTTTCCACTATACCAAGTCAACACACCATAATTCTGTATGCTCTTAAAAGATGACAGACAGACAAGCAGACACACACACACACGCACACACACACAGTTGCTGCTTTTAAAGGAAAGACATTCTCAATACCTCTCTAATGAGCAAAAAATTCTGTTTACATTCCTGTGTCCCAGTTTATGACTTCATAAGAGTTTATTATTCATTTCATGCACAAAAAGACTGCCCTAATCTCCCTCTTTGGCTAGTGGAATCTCTTCAGAACTCTTCGGTGGAAAATAGAACCTTTCTTCCTTGATCCCAGGGCAGGGCTGAAATGAGTCTTAAAGGACTTAAATGGCCCGACATCATCGCGTCACCACTGACTTCTTACTCAAAGGGGTACTTTGGGCGGCAGGTGGAGTTATAATTATAGATTAGAAAAAAGCAACATCAGCAGCTGTCACTTCTGTTTGTTCCCGGCTATAACTGTCATCAGTGGGCAAACTGGCATAAACAGGCCTCTGCAAGTGGAAAAACATTTAACCCCTGGACTTGTTACACGCTGAGTCCTCACAGCAGCCTGAGAACAGAAGGAAGCTTGACTGTCCATGAGTGAAGGGTGGAACCCCAAGCGACACCAATCTGAAGGCATCTCTTCAGGAAGAGCCTGACATTTGAACATTTTTCTTTCCTGCTGGAGACTCCAGAGAAATAGGTCAGTGCACATGTAAACCTATGCATTTTAACTGTGAACTCTGTGCTATGCGGTCTTAGCTTTCTGACAGACCCTAAATAGAAGGGTGGTTAAATGAAAGAAAAGAAAGTTGTTTAAGGACTGTTATTTAAAAGTGCCACGGCTAAGAGAACAGACTATGAAATAGGCTTCATTTACTAGGATCCTCTCCTCATGTTCATGTTATAATAACAGATACGGTAAAGATGGAAAAGTGAAACTGGTTTGCGGCAGGAATTTCTTCCTTTGCTAATGTCACTTACTTATGGGAAAAGGCCCTGGTTTGGTTTGGTTTTCCTTTTTTCTTCTCCTTTAATTAAAATCAATAATGTTGGATTAGTGTTTTTTGTTCAAGTACTATGAATATAGCACCCAGATTTCACTTATTTAGACAAAATAGGCATATTACAGTTGGATTATTTGCCCTTCTGAATAAAAAAGTTTTATTATTTATGATAAACTATATGATATAGGTTACCCTATAGAAAAATCTGTTATAGGATTTATTTTGGGGTCTATTACAGTTCTACCCTAAAACTCCATGTTCTCAGTATAAGTTAATCTGTGAGGCTCTCCTCAGTTTCTTTTTAAGAAAACTAAAATTTCAAAAACTTCTCCTTTTGTTTGCATGTGACCTATGCTAGGCAGGAATTGAGCAAGATTTTTTAAACAAAGATCAGCTTTGGGTCATGAGCCCAAAGGCCAATGGTTTAGCATCTCAGTGAAAAATAATGGAATTCTGAGAATCAGTCTTGGGGGATCCATGAAACAGATTCAGTATAAGGAGTCCTGAGTAATGGACTCATTGGGGCTGTAGCTCCTTTGGTAGAGTACCTGCCTACTAGACACGAGACCCTGGATTGAGTCTTCAGAGTGGTGGCATATGCCTACAATCCCAGACCTCAGGAGGTAAAGGCAGAAGGATCAGAAGTTCAAGGTCATCCTCAGCTACATACCAAGTTCAAGGCCAACCTGGAATGACCATCTCAAAACAAAACAAAACAAAACAAGACAAAACAAAGCAAAGCAAAGCAAAACGAAACAAAAGAAAACTCATTTTGTTCAGCTGAGTAGAAAGCCAACCATCCTTAAGTGTTTTAAGTCTGCACTGTCTTTTAACATTATTGTAACAGCATATGAGCTCCTTTTGAAGGGTTCAGAGTACCAATTGTGTACCTGAGAGCCACTTAGAGAGATACTCACATCTCAGTAAGACCATCCAAAATAACCTATCAATTAAATTGCCCTGAAGATCTGGGTCCTTCCAAATGATATCTCCTAGGTTCTTCTAAATGATGTCTCCTGGTTTCTAAGAAGAGAGCCAAAAATTTTTTCTTAAGAAGTTTAAAGATGAATAAATACTTCTTCTACACACTTTGGCAAATACAAGCCTGAACAGTGAGTTTGGCCATTGCTTTTGGAAATGTATGTCAGTGTCTTGTTTGCTTGCTTGCTTGCTTGTTTTGAGACAGGGTCTCACTATGTAGCCCTGACTGGCCTGGAACTCACTATTTGGACCAGGTTGGTCATACAGACATCCACCTGCCTCTGCCTCTGCTAGGACTAAAGGTGTGCACAACTATGCCTGACTATATCAATGTTTTAAATCCTCCTATGGATTAAGAAGTTATTTGACAGGTAGCAAGCACTACAGCATGTCACATCCATCTCATTTATCCATGAGCAGTAGCTACATAGTCTAAAATGATATTTATCAATTATGGCAATTTTAAGATTTATAAAAACACTGTTGGCAGAGCTCATGTTCCTTCCCTTCTATGCTACTAAGTCTAGCACTGAGATGTTGGATGATGAGGTGGCTGTGTCCACAGGTTCCAAACTATAAAAACAAGAAGTAGGTTGGCTGATTGGTTACTAGCTTGGGTTTCCTTTGATGTATAGACTTATGCCCAATGTGAATACTGAGCATGACTTTTAACTTGTGTTTTGTCTTCTTGCTCTTCTAGAAAAAGCTATCCGAGATGACTGTCACTTACTCCAGTAAAGTAGCAAATGCGACTTTTTTTGGATTTCATAGGTTGCTCCTCAAGTGGAGAGGCAGCATCTACAAGCTTCTGTACAGGGAATTTATTGTTTTTGCTGTTCTTTACACAGCAATAAGTTTGGTATACAGGTACTTAGCTTTGCATGTCTCCTTAAATGACCCTCAAGTATTATGTAAGAATACAGCCTCAAAAATCAGATCCCTTTGGTTGCCGCTGGCCTTCACATTATGTAACCTCTCCCTTTGCATGAACTTCTCTGTCTTCTTCTCTGCAGGACAGGGTATTTTAATTCATACCTAACCATTTTTTTAAGAGTAAGTGATAGCAGCTGTCAGATTCCAAGGACTCACCTTCCAGCCCCGCATGAATTGGACCTGGTTTAAGCAGAAATTGGAAGATTTGTACTTAAATCCTTTTGTGATGATTTTAAATAGGCAAATCCACAGACTAATGAGTTTCTATGCTTCTCTCAACGATGTCATTCATAGTGTGAACTTGTGATTTGACAGCTTGATGTGTATGGAGTTAACATATACTTGAATGGCGTTTATCAGGTAGCTTTCCTTCCATTAACCTGAAGGTAAGGTCTTACTGAGGATGGTGCCCTCAAACCTTACCAGTACCTCAATCAAAGAATTAAAGCCCAAAGAATAATTTGTTCTCTTTATGTCTTCTGATTTCAGGATTCTATGTTTGCAAAAGGAGGTATTTATTCTTTATAACATCATGATGTATGCCTGAGAGATTGATAGAAAATTTGAGGAATAACATCTCCAAGAGTTACTGTTACAACTGAAAGTTATAATCTTAAAAATATTATCAGAATGATAAAAGGGAAACTTTCTAAAATTTTAAACTGAAGTTGAATGCCTACATTTCTTCATTGGAGAAAGCTAAAACTTGGAATAGGAAAGCTTAAGGTTTTTGAGGCTGTATTTCCATATTTTCTAGGCATTTACATTTTCTTCTGCATACAGATTAACAAATTTGTGTGTCACTGGTCTCACGTACATTCTTCCCTTGCAGCAACAAGAGTCCCTTTGGAGAAGAGGGTTATTACTTTATCTGACTATCATTAGCAAAAGCAAAATGGGGAGAGCCATTTTGTTACCTATCAAAATGTCATTCCAGGGCTGAGTGTGTAGCTCAGTTGGTAGAGTGCTTGTTTAGCATGCACAAAGCCCTGGGTTCAATACCCAGCACCTCACAATATCAGGTGTGGTGGCACAGGCCTGTAATCTTAATACTAGGGAGGTAAAGACTGGAGGATCAGAAGTCCAAGGTCAACATTGGCTAATTGGGCTAGGTTAGATCCTGTCTCAAAACAAATAAACAAGAAAAAAAAAAAACCCAAAAAACAAAAATCCTACTATCCCAATCAAGTGTGCATAGTAGAATAGATTTCACCAAAATATCCTCAGAGGGAAAGGCTTATTTAAAACCTCTGTTTTTCATATATATCTTATATATTACTTTAACACTTTATGTCACTCAAGCCTTCAGAATATGAAATGATGGAAGACACAATGATGTTTCAAGATAATTATCTCGTTAGTTTATTTTTACTAATGTGAGTTTTTTGCTGCTACTGCTGCTTAGAATAAAAAAGCCTGAGAATAGTTGCCATGTGGCCAGAAATGCTCCCCGGGGCCTCAACTTTTGCTCCAATATCAAACTTTAAACTTCCCAAAATTACACGCTTATGTTTTTCCCAACAATCAAAGCATGTTTACATTTACAATGATAATCATTAATTTGATTTTCCTTCACTTTAAAGTTAAACTATAAATTCTTGTTATCTCTAATCAAAGGCTTACCAAGAACTACAGGATGAATAGCTCAAGAAAGTCAAACAGACCTGTGGAGAAATATAAACAGTTTATTCTCATGACTGCTAATGTCATTAAGTAATTCATGAATCCTATTGTAAGAAGCTAATTATATGTTAACAAAAGGCCATAAGGCAGAACTGGAATTCATTAAACTGGTTTTATTTCTTCTACTTTTTGAAGGAATCTGACAATCTCTATTGAACCGTCTAGCTATTACAATTTCTGTATCTATTATCTAATATTTTTCATTGACCAATCAGCAATAATATTACCCATTTTATTACTAAAAAGTTTTTTATGGGGCTAGAGAGAGATGGTTCAATGGTTAAGAGCACTGGCTGTTCTTACAGAAGACCCAGGTTTGAATCCCAGCCCCCACATGGTGGTTAACAACTTCATAAACTTCAGTTCTAGGGGATCTGACGCCCTCTTCTGTCCTCCTCGGGCACTGCACAACATGTGTGTACTTAACATACAAGCAGGCATAACATGTAAACACATTAAATAAAAGTAAATAAATCCAAAAAATTAAGCTATTTATATACTTGATATTTTTAATCCTTACAACACCCCTGTTATATAGCTATTATATATCCCCGTAAACCAAGAAAATAGACTCCTAGAGATTTGACAGTACACTCAAGGTCCAAATCCATGGCAGATCTGGTACTATAACCTGGCTTGGCCTAACTGATCCTAAAACCCACACTTTCTACCTTAAATACTTTTTTGACCATTTCTATTTATGTTCCAGAAAGCTACTCTGTCTGTGACTTGTCATCAACAGAGCCCTCACGAGCCTGTGGAAGCAGCTGGTGCCTCTCTTGTCTGCTTTCCGAACTCCATAAACTCTGACACCTCCTTCACACCTGGGGCAGGAACTCCACACCAGCTGTACCCTTAGCTTTTTGCCAGTACCAGTTCCCAATGGTGCTCTGCCTACAACCTGGTTGGTTGTACACTGTACCTCATTATTCCTCAGCTGCCTTTATCAACATTCTACCCACCAAAGGGACATTTGATGATTGCTATGATGGCTCTTTCATTAGGTTTCTTCATTCTTTGGGTAGGCTGAACTATTGATTTATGCAAATCCATGTGTAGCTTCTCCACATTTTGATCATTATTATTGTTTTTTAAATAAAATATTTTATTAAAAATTAGCAGCAGACTCATAATAAGGATTTACTAAAATATTACTATTTATGATATTAGGGTTTTTTATTCTTTATTTTTAAGAAGAAGCATTTCATTACAGCTGTAACATACTCAATAACAATTTCCAGAGCAAAAATATTACTATTTATAATTATAGTAATACATGAATTTTGTTTGCTTTTTTAAAAGGTAAAGTTTCATGTAGATTATGCTGGTCTTAAATTCACTATATAGCCAAGGCTAGCCTTGATTTCCTGTTGATCATTATTTTTAACCTACATTTAGGGATTTCTTTTGACTCTGAATTCCCTCCCTATAACATAATAATGGTCTCATTATACACAAGTATGCTTAGCAATATCAGAGAATGAGTTTAGGGAGGTTAAGTCAGCTCTGCAAGAAGTTTTGAGACATTGGCCAAATGTAAGAGTGAAAGTTTTCATGTTTAATTGTTAAATAGGCTTTATTTACATCTCAAAAAAAATGTGAGCACTAAAGTAAGCAACTGAAACATTCATTCCTTGAAATGTAGCATGTCCAGTCCAGAATGCGCTAAGTAGCTGCCCAGTGTTATTATTTAATAATGACTTAATAACTCTTAGCCACCAAATCAATACTCTCTTTTTTAAGTATTCCTGATGAGCTGGGCCTTGTGGTGCAGGGCTATAATCCTAGTTATTCAGGAGGCTGAGGCTAGAGGATCACAAGTTCAAGACCTCCTTGGTCTACAGAGTGAGTTCAAGGCCAACCTGGGCAACTCAGTGAAACTCTGTCTCAAAAATAGAGGGAAAGAGCATGCTAGGAATGTAGTTCAGTGGCAGAGCATTTGCCTGCATGTGTGAAGCCTTATAGTTTCAGTGCCCAGTACTGAAAAGGAAAAAACAAAAAAACAAAAAAACGGACTCATACCTTTCTCCAAAATCCAGTGAACCAATTATATAAAAAAATACAAAGTTTAAAAAGCAGAATTGTTAACAAATCCCATTGTTTAATAGGAAATAGCATTAATGTGCTAACAACATTAGTGCCTGAAACATGAAACAATCAAAAACTTTGGAGACACAGCAGTTTAAGGACAAAGAAAAATATACCTCCTTAAAAAACTGAGATGATTTGTGCTTAATTGTTTGCACTTAATGTCACCTGCAGAGCAGGCGCAGAAGTATCACATCATAAAGGGCTGTGCATTTTATTTTTGCTCCAGATTGTTACTTACAGGAGCCCAAAAACGTTACTTTGAAAAATTATCAATTTACTGTGACAGATATGCTGAACAAATTCCAGTAACCTTTGTGCTTGGTAAGTATAGGTCACATGCAGAACGCAGCCACACAGCTGTCCGTTAGGATGATGCAGATGACTCCGCATGCGAGTGCTTCTAGGCTGAGAGGCATGCCCGAAAAGTCACTGCTTGCAATAGAACACAACCATCCATAAAGTCTGTCTTCAGGGCTGCTTCCGCTAAATTAACACCAAACAGTTTGAGGTAATAATCTGCTACTGGACCATTAAGCTTTCTCTTCACTAACCCTCCATATTTGCAATCGATATTTGAGTTCTAATACCCACTTACTGGGTGCCCTGACATTGCCAGGCACATAGGATATTTCCCCCACTTGGAGGGCAAAATCACAAGGTATGGATAATAATATATTTTCATGTCCCCAACCCCTAAAAAGGCTAAAGTTCTGCTAAAAGCATAAGTGTCATTGAGATGTCTGCTTCAAGAAATCACATTATAATTTCCCGTTATTCCACAGGGTTTTATGTGACTCTGGTTGTGAACCGATGGTGGAACCAGTTTGTGAACCTGCCCTGGCCAGACAGGCTAATGTTCCTCATCTCCAGCAGTGTTCATGGGAGTGACCAGCATGGGCGCCTGCTCAGGAGGACGCTGATGCGTTATGTCAACCTCACATCCCTGCTTATCTTCCGCTCTGTGAGCACAGCTGTGTACAAAAGGTTTCCAACCATGGACCATGTGGTCGAAGCAGGTATTCTGAATATTTTCCTTTCAAGGATTCTTCTCAGCTGAGACAGGGGCCTCCAAAATTCTTTTGAAAGTACCTAAATGTATTCATTCGCTTAAGAAATGTTTATTGATTACCTACTATGTGGAAGAAGCACTCTTGATGGGCAAAGATAAACAAGACATGGTTCCTGCCCTCAAGAAATTTACTTGAGAGGTAAAGGAGAGAAGCAGCAGGTAGACAAGTTGTCTTAAGCACAACAATGATGATCATATTTATTAAAGCAACCTGTCGTATTACCTTGCAATTTCCCAGAACTTTATGGCTATTTCTTTTTATTTTGTTTTTGTTGTTCTTGGTTTTTGTTGGGGGTTTTGGATTTATTTATTTATTATTTGTAGTGGTGTTCATGGGGAGTTTTTTTGCCTTTGTTTTTGTTTTGTTTTTAAGACAGATTGCCTTTGGATGCAATGGCAGTCCTTCTGCTTTAGCTGCTCTAGTGTTGGGATTACAAATGTGAGTCACTAGGCCTACCTTATGGTTATTTCAGTTAGGTCTCATGAAAACAATAGCAGCAGAACTGAAGACGCTATAGCTTGTCCTGAATCGCACAGCTGGTTAGTGGAAGAGTCAGATAAATTCAGGCTCAGAATTTCTACTTTAATACGTTCTTGAAGCAAAGTCAATTTTGGAAGGAGTCTGCATGTCAGTTTTCATTCAGGAAGGCCCAGAGAGGTGGCAGTCAAAGGCGCGTGTCTCTCCTGTGCTTCATGTTAGACTCAAATAGTCTATCTGGGCTCTTGAAATCTCGTCTGCTGAAAATCAATCATGTGAAAGATGGTTCTCTTTGGTATGTAAATATTTAGCAAAGAAGCGGTGAAATCAGCCTTCAGTGGAGTGAGGATTAAAAGAAGTAACTCTTGGTCCCCAACTGGTCCTTATAGATGAGATTATTCTACCTTTATATTGGGTACAGACTCCAGTTGAATTGTAATCCCCAGTTTTCTTTCCTGAAATGACCTTTAAAATAGTATGGGCTTTTTTCCCCCCTTCTTAGAATAATATTGGGTTTTTAAATTTTTGCTTGTTGGTGTTATTGCTGTTGTTTTGGGTCTTTGATGGGCAAGTTAGATAATAACTAGGAACTCAGCATAAAAGTTGGAATCCTGACTCTACCACTCACTAGCCAGCAAGCTCTGTGTAGGTATTTAGCCTTTCTGTACCTTGGTTCCTCATCTATAAAACTGGCTTATAATAGCACCTACATTATATATGTTGTAGGTTCATTACACTAACCAAATAAGTTAATCTTCACAGAGTGTTCAGAGCAATACCTGGCACCTGGCAAGTGCTGTGTGATTTCTTGTTAATGTAATGAAATCATCTAAAAACTCCTAACATAGCACTCTGGTCACCTCAGAAGACTCCGGTGGACATGCCATCCCAGGTCTTCTTGATCTACGTTCCCATAAGTTTGTAAAAGGTAGAATAAGGAAGTAGAGATGTAAGTGAGAAAGTCGTGGGGTGCAAGGAGCTGGTGAAGGATCCAGGCAGAAGATGTGAATGGCCTGGCAAATATGCAGGTGTATTGTAATGTAAAACCAGGGACCAAAAGTCAATTGACTGCCACCCATCCTCTATTTAAAAATAGAATACTGCTGGGTATAGTGACATATGCCTTTAATCCCAGCACTCAGTAGGCAGAGGCAGAGGCAGGTGGATCTCTGTGAGTTTGTGAGTTTGAGGCCAGCCTCGTCCACATAGAATTCCAGGACAGCCAGGGCTACACAATGAGACTGTCTTCAAAAAAAAAAAAAGTAGACTACTGCTTCAGAATAACAAAACTGAAAAAAAAAAAAACCTCAATAACTTAAATTTCTTACCCTAGTATGTAAAGAATCAAAATATTAAGAATTACCACCTCTGGGGCTAGAGAGATGGTTCAGCAGTTAAGAGCACTGGCTGCTCTTGCAGAGGACAGAGTTCGATTCCCAGCACCCACATGGCAGCTAACAACCGTCTGTAACTCCAGTTCCAGAGGAATTCAATGCTCTCTTCTGATTTCCACAGGCATTGCACAACACCATGAGGGTACTTACATACATGCAGGCAATACACTCATACACATAAAATAAATAAAACTCATAATGAAAAAAAGAATTATCACCTCTGAAGAAAGACCTAAGAACAAGGGAAGTTTGGCCTACCCAAATAGATGACTGAGAGCTAAAGGCAATAAATTCTCCAGTTGTGACGTATCCTTGGACTGAAGAGAGGAAGTTCTGGCTGGCCTCTGATGCCAGCCAAATTCTCAAAGCATATTGCATCCTCTTAGTGTCACCTCCATAATAAAGACACATCCAGAGAAGCCAGGCTGGCCTGCAATAGAAATGCCTGTGTGACCTCTGATCCGACCTGAGCTCAAAGGAATGGGCTAGACTCAGTTTGGGGGCAAGCAAGTAAAGGGAGGTAAACAGGAGAATGGCAAGACCTCATTTCCTTGAGTGTTTTCCCCCTACACATGTACAAATGTCTGCCATACACTTGCATCTAGGCTTTTTCCTTTTCTAAGGCATCTGGGAAATTGGGTTTTACCTCTCTCCCTAACTACCAATACCCTTGTCATTTCAAGGGAACCTGAAAAAGGAGTCATTCCACATTAAAGTCATGCATCTAAGGTTGTGATCCACAGACACACAGACCTCTGCATCTTCACTAACATGAGTTATTTATTTAAAACACATATTCCTGGACTCCACTTCAAATCTACTGAATCAGAACCTTTCTACATGGTGCTTAGATCCCTTCAACTAAACATACTTCCATGTCGCCCCCTCCCCCTTTGTGTTTTAAGACAGTCTCATTATGTAACCCAGACTAGCTTCACACTTGAATCTCCCTACCTTAGCATCACTAGTACATGGATTACAAGTGTATATTACCCTGCCTGGCTCCGCGTCATTTTTCATACACTAAAGTTTGAAAAGTACTGAGTCTTTGGGAGAATCCCTTTTTAAGAAAAAACAAAACAAAACAGCAACAACAAAAAATTACTTCATTTTTTCCCCTGATCCCTGGGGCAGAAAGCTTTGGCAACTAACAAATTTATTATTAATAATAAAGTAACAACAATTAAGACAGAGTAGATTCCAGATTATCTCCTTGCCAGTGGCCACAGAATTCTTAAGTGTGAGGAGCTAAACAAGTTGCTTGAGCATAACAAATGTAGTTTTCACTTAAAATTTTTAAACTATTTTATCATTTTTGCTTTATGTGTGTGAGTGTATTGCCTGTATGTATGTAAGTGCACCCATGTCACACAATGCCCACAGAGGTCAGAAGAGGGCATCAGATCCCATGGAACCGGACTTGGGGTAGTTGTTAACTACCCTTTGGGTGCTGAGAAACAAACTCAGGTCCTTTGCAAGAGCAGTCAGTGCTCTTAGCCGCTGAGCCATCTCTCCAGCCCCTCACTTAACATTTTTGATGTCTTTGTACTGACTGAGGAAGACAGAAACTGGGGGAAATTGGAATGGAGCCAAAGATCTTCTAAGTACCCATGAGCTCATCACCGATTAGCACTGTAAACATACCCTGTTGACCCAGGCACAGTGACATACACACCTGTCATCCCAACACTTAGGAGTCTGAGGCAAAAGGCTCTTCCTAAGTACAAGGTCAGCCTGAACCACAGAGCAGCAGGCCAGCCAGGGTTACATAGCAAGATCATGTCTCAAAAGATAAAATGAAAAACCATGGGGGAGGGGAGCTATTGCTCTCTTTAATTCTCAAGTGATTTCATAGAAGGCAGAAAAGGGGCAAGGGACTATACTTTGTGTGTTGGGTGGCAGGGCAAACATTCTAAGACACTGAGCTTTGAGAGCAGCCTCAGAGCCCAGGGCTTCCTGCTGCCCAGCACAGAACCCTTTGCCAATGGCAGTGCTGACTCACACAGCATCCTGCTCCTTCCCAGTGGGAAGGACTGACTCAAGAGTCTGCTTCCAAGTTCTTCCAACTGGGCATATGCCTCAGTCACTCCCAGACTGTTCTTCACCAGAGCCAAGGTTTCTGGGAAGAATAGGAAGTTCAGAATTGTGGAAAAATGCTTGGCCAATGTCCTGAGTCCAGAGCCAGGGCACCTGCTCCTGCCTAAGGGCAGAGAGGACTGGTAAATACAGCACCATCCTGCACTATGGGGGCAAAACAAGCTGATAAACTGATGCTGAGGAAAAAACAAACAGATAACAACAGAAATATCCACCTTATCATTCAACTGCCCTACTTAAAATCACCTGTAAGGAACAATATAAAATATGTGTTCTCAAACCTGAGTGCACATTAGATACTGTTAAAATCAGTGTTGCTAAAAAATGCTTTCAGATGTCAGGAGGTCTGGACAGGGTCAGTGCATCCAACAAGCTCCTAGAGGCTTGTGAGGCAAGTGGTCCCTGAATCACACTCTGAGAAAAACATAGAGCAGCTGCTTCCGCCAAAGTACTTGGTGGTGCTTTGACTGAAGTCAGACAAGCCAGGCCTCTCCCGGCCAGTCTCTCAACTTACTTTGTTTTCAAATTACACAGTCAAGTTCTGTGATTCTGAGAAGTAGGGAAAAAACAACAAAAAAACATTGCATACTGCCAGAAAAATATACCTGACTTGGCATTACAGGTTAAAGTCTCAAAAAGAAAAAGCATTTTATTTTCATTTATATTAAAGTAGAAACATAACAGCTGAGTTAAAAATAAGTCAGTCATGCAGAAAAGTCATACAAAATGGTCTATACAGGCCATTTATTCATCAGAAGAACTCCAATATAAGTTTCTGATATTTGCCTGTTGGCTCTAAACTTATTCTGGTAAATTCTAGTCATTCCAGTCATCTGCTCTGGAACATGTCACTCCTTCTAAGTCAAGTGCACGATTCTGGATCTCTGCTAACTCAAGTGATAACCTCAATCGAGTGGTTGTATTTTGGCATCAAACTGAATCAGAACATTTTCTCTAATATTTCACAAGTATCAGAGA